AAATTCGTAAATTTTTTGCATTTTGAGATGCCCCCTCTGGTAACAAGACGGTAGAATTTTATGTTTCTTACATATATTGTATAATATAGTATTACTCATCAAATATTATAGTTTGAACAAAAAGTCTATTGTAGTATTTGTATAATTTGCTTTAAAGTGCTAAAAATGGGCATTTTCCTATATAATCCTATAGTAAATGTTCCTGTATTTTGAGACGGTCCCTCAAAAATACCTGGACGGTAGATTTCCCCCAAACTTTGCATGTACACTGAAATTAATGCAAGTCATATATGGTATAAAAATGAAGAGTTTCGCTATTGTAGTTTTCACACAATAAAACTATAGTCGGCCCCCTTAATTTTTGTGGCTAGTTAAATTTCAATGACGTCACAATTAAACTTCCAATACGATGTACAAGGAATGTGAACTCTGACCTTCCTTAACTAAGCCGAGTAGATACTGTGGTTTCATCAATTTTCGTTGGCATCAATTTTCGTGGATTTTGTAAAACAGACATTTTCGAGGATACGTAATTTCGTGGACAAAGGCATTGCCTATACAAATGAATGTCATATTCCGTAGTTCAATGAACATTTGAATTCGTGGATCTGCTCAACAACGAAATCCACGAAAATTAGTGCTCAACGAATATTGATGAAACCTCAGTATGACGTCATAATAGAATATGACGTCAAGTCACTGCATACTTGAGCTGACATGACGGGGAAAGTGTCATAATATTATTACACGGCATGTATATTTATTATGGGGACTTGTGTTTAATTCAAGGGTAATGGTTGTTTTTAAGCTCGCGTGTGCTGTTATAATATTTAACACTTGATATTTAAATTTCTCCAATCCTTTTGCTTGTTCGATATGCACATATTAAAGCAATAGGGAAAAATTATGTTTGAAACGCTCTCCTTACACACCCGTAGACAGAGTTAGAATTTATGAATCGTGTTTATATTGGACTGGCACAAGTGAAAGACAAGGATAAATTGAAGCTATTCTGCATGAATCTAAAAGAGAAGTATGTCTTCTAACTGATTTTTGCTGTAGGATCGTATGTAGTTTTTGTATCAATCGCGAAAAAGAGTCGAAAATATCCCTTCTTACTTTGGTAATTTTAATTTATCGTAAAATATTTTCTTCATAAGTAAAAATTAAACCTGCCCCCAGCACTTTTTATGTACCAGGGATCACGATGAATCGATCTATGTAAAAAACTTTGCACAATAATTTTATTTTGCACTTGTGCCGAAGCGATTTTTGTGCAACATTTAAGAATTTCAAAAATGTCCGTCACGTGACCAACACAGTCTTCTGACATCAAAGAAATGCTTTATTATAATACCTAATTAAACTGTTATCTCAAGTTGACTGCAATTTCAAACAAGGATCACATATTGAAATTAAAATCTAGCTCAAAATAAATATATATTTTTAAAACATTTTAAGTTTTCGGACAGCCTTATCACATCTGCGATGACCTTTGGGGTTAGGGTGGAGCCACAATTGACGATGAAAGTTTATCATAGGAGTATAGAGGAACAATCTTCAAATATCTTCTCCATCACACCAAATTAATTTAAAAGCATCCAAAGGTAGTGTAGATTCAAAATTATGACCCCGTGGATAGTGTGGAGCCACAATGGACGATTTAAAATAACATAGAAGTAGATAAGCAAAAACCTTCTTCTCAAGAACTGGAAAGCCATGGTTTGTCATTTTATTTTGAAGCATCCTCAGATAATGTAGATTCAAATTTGTTTAAATTGCATCCTCTCCATTTTACACCATCTGCCTTTTAGGGGTAGGTCGATAACACTAATGCATTAAGCTTTTTAATTCTAAACTGATTTTTTTTCTAGGCATAGTACTCAGGTAAGCGGTGTGGCACCTGGGCCTCTTGTTTGAGCTTAAAACATAAAAAAAATGTTTTCAGTAATCAACAACTGTATTCTTTTTTTTTAAACTGAAAATGTATCGAAATTCAAGTTGTTATACCCGTACTTTCTAAAGAAAGTTCGCGTATAATGTTGTTACTCATGTCCGTCCGTCGGTCTGTCCGTCTGTCACAATTTTCTTCCCTGAACTCCTCCTACATTTTAAGCAGAAGCCTAATCATCTTTTGGAAGATGGTTGGTGATGTCATGTAGATATGCAGTAAGGTTTCGAAATTTTCATTTTGCCCCGGGGGTCAAATGGGGGTCGAAAATGATGTTTTTTTTATGTAAAAAGCCACATCTTACCTGAACTCCTCTTACATTTTACACAGTAGCCTAATCATATCAAGGGAGATGGTTGGTGGTGTCATGTAGATGTTCAGTAAGTTTTTGGAATTTTGATTTTGCCCCCGGGGTCAAATTGCGCAGCACTTTTAAGGCTTACTATGAAAAATCAACGGAAAATAAAAGTGCAAAAACGGGAATTGTTTTTAAAACTGAATTTATTTTTATTCAGCTGTTCTATTATTACAGAACTTAATACTTATGAAAATAGCATAGTATAACCTACTATGTACTGTATGGAGTTTGGTTCCATCGATGGACAGTCACGTGATGAATGCGTAGTAGGTGCACGGAATGTAGATCAATAACAAATTTCAATATCGCAAGGGCATACCCTAGTTGAAATTAAAAATTCAAGCTATGAATTGTTTCTGCATACTTTGCACTTTCTGAAAACTGCTGCTGCTTTGAAAAGAATTCGCGTTGTAAAAGTTAAAATTTCAAGTAAATAGGCCAATGTCGAAATATGTTTGACTTTTACCAAATATTTTGTGTACTTATAAAGTAATGCTCTCGATTTAAATAAAGCAGCAGCACTTTTCAAGTTAAGGAACATATCCTTTATTTATATTCAAAAAATGATCAAAATTTTTGTAGTGTATGCCCTTGCAAAAGAGCGATTTAATGTGGCACCTCGATGTAAAATATACCTAACCTGAACAAAAAAAACACGACAGAATTATTTAAATACATTCTCTCGATAGTTGATGAATAATCGCACTTAACAAAAGATATACATTGGTATTTATTAGCCTATTAAAAACCTGTAAATAATATTCTGTTTTATAATAAAACACATTTTTCATTGTTAAAAAATTCCCAAATCTGCCTCTCACAGCACATGAAATACGTCATTTTTACCAAAATGACGTCATGATTGACTAGTTCATCGAGATCAGTGATTTGTTTAAAACCAGCTGTATGGGATTTATCTAGCGACTTTTGTTAATGCATTTCCAAGTTTTATTGCTGTTTATTATGCTAATACAGTTTAAAGTTGCAAATCATTTTATTTTCGGGTAATATGAGGAATGCATAAAATTCATATTTTTGTGAGACGTCACATTAAACTTTTCCCGTATAAATTAGGCCACGCCCCCTTTTTTATAGCCTTAACAGTGCTGCGTGGGGTAAAAAAATGACTTTTTTTTTATGCAAAAAGCCACATCTTGCCTGAACTCCTCTTACATTTTACACAGCAGCCTAATCATCTCTAGGGAGACAGTTGGTGGTGTCATGTAGATATGCAGTAAGGTTTCGGAATTTTTATTTTGCCCCGGGGGGTCAAATAGAGGTCGAACAATATTTTTTTTAATGTAAAAACCACATCTTGCCTTAACTCCTCTAAGATTTTACACAGTAGCATAATCATCTCTAGGGAGATGGTTGGTGGTGTCATGTAGATGTGCAGTAAAGTTTCGGAAATTTGATTTTGCCCCCGGGGGTCAAATGGGGGTCAAAAAATGACATTTTTTATGCAAAAAGCCCCGTCTCCCCTGAACTCCTCTAACATTTTACTCAGTAGCCTAATCATCTTTTAAGAGATGGTTGGTGGTGTTATGTAGATGTGCAGTTAGGTTTCGGAATTTTCATTTTGCCGGGGGGGGGGGGCAAATGGGGGTCGAAAAATGATGTTTTTTTTATGCAAAAAGCCCCGTCTTCCCTTAACTCCTCTTGAATTTGACTCAGAAACCTAAACATCTTTTAAAAGATGGTTGGTGGTGTCATGTAAATGTGCAGTAAGGTTTCGGAATTTTCATTTTGCCCGGGGGGTTAAATGGGGGTCTTTTTTTTCTAATATTGGATATGTTCTACACCCTGCTTCTAAGAACTTAAATTTCCCTAATATTGTATGCATTAGCCTTAAATCATGATCATTTGGAAAATGATTGGTTTGTTTTGTGTATGTTTAAAATGGTTTCAAAATTTGCATTTTCATGTGTCTCTTGAGAATGTTTCCATATTAATCATGCTCTTGTTGTTCTTGAAAGCACCTATTATAGCCAAAAAATAATTATACCCATGTATGGGTCACATGGTCACCTGAGCATATTATGCTCGATTTGGTGAATATATGTACATATTGCGTAAATTATTGATTTATATTGACTTTTTTCCTTGGTGAATCCCAATTTGAAGGAGTGTGCATTTAGAGACAAACACATTAGTGCGGGTATTACTGTCTCATGACAGCATCTAGTTTAAAATATTTTGTTTTAGAATAAAAGTATCAAATCAAATTCCATGAACTGCATAATTATAATCATCAACAAGTCCTTCATTTTTTTTCCCTGTTAGCTTGCAATTTAGTTTCTATGCTATATTCAATCTGTTCAGTGCATAAATTATTCTGATTTATGCAATGAACAAAATTGGCTGTCGAAATTCCATCAAGTATTGAATTAACGTATTAAGAATTTTATAGATGGTAAATTTTTGAACAGTCTTTCCAGTGTCATTGTTCTTAAATTTGTATGAAAATGAATAAGGCAAAGAAGTAAACAATTACTTTTGAAAAAATGAAGATGTCAGCAAAAATGCTTTTTAATTGATATGAGGTTACATGTAAATGAAGATTTTTTTCTTTTACCCCCTTAAACTAGATAAACAAATACTTAGAATATAACATGATGTTATGCGAATATAGCATGATATTATGCGAATATAGAGTAAGGTGAATACTATGATGAATAGTTATAAACTTGCCATATGTTTCACCCATGTCCTCAAACTGTATCTTTATGCTGTATATGCTGCCCATGTCACCTAGATCCACGTACCACTGAGCCCTTTGATATCGACTATTAGGACCAATTACATCAGGCCTTGCGCATGTAGCAGGATTCCCATCTACAGCCATTTTTGCTCCAGAACCAGTCCGAGGTAAAGTTGTACTTTGATATGCCGGATGATCGTGAGATAAAACATCTGGAAAGGACATAAATATATATTTAAACTTGTTTGTTGATTAACCTCATGTTCTAGATTAAAACAAAATTACCTAGATATATCTATACTTATCTAAATAAAAACCATTTTTATGATACATGTACGATGAGAATCATTTCATGTACTCGATGAAATTCTAGATTTAATGTTCCATATAGGCGTTGCATGATCAATTTTAAGACCACTACTTGTGCATGGGTTCGCTCAATATCTTATTTTTCAGCATGTCTGTTTTTTTCATCTTTGAAGTGTTAAAATACATTTTTATCTACACTCTTGAGTACAGAACGTTTTGGGGTTATGCACTTGATATAGAAAAAAAGAGGCATATGATGTATATGTACTTTCTGCACCCACAAAAGTATTTTTTCTAAATTTCTTTAAATGTGCTGATTTGTTTAAATTGTATGCAAAATTAACAAAAATACTATACATGTAGTTCCAAAGAATATTTGCAATTTTTGTTTCGGTTTAACGTCAAAAACTATTCGGAATTAATGTTATTTTTTCAGAAAGAGAAAGAAAATGGAATTTTGTTCAATGTTAATCATAACAATAATTGAGCACAGACCTGCTCAAGAACAATATACACATATTGCATTGACAATATTAATAAGTTTGATTTTAGGGGCAAATATTTCTAATTACCGAATATAGTACTGTATGATAACTGAAGAATCATATCTTCCTATATACGTAACTTGAAAGACCACAGAAACATTTGACAAAGAGTGCATTTAGTCTAAGCTGTGATTACATTTATCATATTAAAGTCTGGAAAATTTACTTGTAAATATAAGGGAGAGGACTATCTAAGTTTGTGGAACTTGAATCCAATCCTTTTGACATATTGTCAATAAAATATGTTCGAAACAGACAAAACAAGAACAGATAAAAGTTTTAGGAAAAATTTTGAAATAACCACTTAAATATATGTTAGGAATTTTACAATTTCTTAAAACTTTAGAAATTACTTATTATTGACAATAGAAATATTGGCCCATTGACAGTTTTCGAGCTAGCAAATATTTGAACTGTTTGAATGCTTTTTACAAACTTTTTCCTGTTCTGCTACTTCTTTCCCTTCTACTCTATTTTTCTCTTTACAACTCAATTCTGTGTTTATTCAAGATTCGTACAGAAGCTCCAGGTTCCGTCAGAGGTAAATTTCTTGATTATCCATCATGTCTTTGAAAATATTATCAGCTAATTGTCAAGGACTGGGGGATATCAGCAAACGAAGAGATGTTTTTAATTATCTAAGATTGATTGATTGATTATATACTGTTTAACGTCCCTCTCTAGAATATTTCACTGATATGGAGACGTCACCATTACCGGTGAAGGGCTGCAAATTTAAGCCTATGCTCGGCACTTAGGGCCTTTGAGCAGGGAGGGATCTTTATCGTGCCACACCTGCTGTGACACGGGGCCTCGGTTTATACGGTCTCATCCGAAGGACCGCCCCATTTAGTCGCCTTTTACGACAAGCAAGGGGTACTGAGGACCTATTCTAACCCGGATCCCCACGGGGTAATTATCTAAGAGGAATGAATTATAATATTTACTGCCTTCAAGACACTCACTTTACAACTGAAATAGAAAATGAAATCAGAAGCATGTGGGGTTTTGACTGTTACTTTAGTTTTTTTTTCATCAAATGCAAGAGGTATAGCAATTCTATTCAATTATAATTTTGAGGTTAAAATATCTAAGGAAAAAGGAGATGTGGATGGTGATTTTCTTCTTTTAGATTTTACTGCTGAAGAAAAAAGGTTTCTCTTATGTTGTTTATATGGACCAAACAATGATAACCCTGATTTTTATGAAAGATTACATGAGTACATTAATGACTTTAATTGTGAAAATGTCATATTATGTGGTGACTTTAACCTTGTTTTAAATCCTGAATTAGACTACTATAATTATAAACATATAAATAACCCTAATGCAAGACAGAGGGTTATAGAGCTTATGGAAGAAAACAACTTAGTTGATATTTATAGACAAAATAATCCAGATGCTTTGAGATATACTTGAAGAAAAAAGTCCCATTAAGCAAAGTAGATTAGATTTTTTTCTTGTATCGGAGAATTTACTGTCAAGTGTTACAACAAGTTCTATAGAACCTAGCTATAGGTCCGACCACTCGATTATTACTTTATGTTTAAAGTTCAATGATTTTAAGAAAGGCAAAGGATTATGGAAATTTAATAATTCTCTTTTATATGATGAACAATTTTTAAACTCAATTAAGGGGGTGATACAAAGGGTTAAAGAGCAGTATGCAGCTCCAGTTTACAACATAGATAACTTGCAATCTATTGAAGATGAAAAATTGTATTTTTAGTCAATGACCAGTTATTTCTAGAAACACTTCTTATGGAAATTAGAGGGAAATGTATTTCGTATTCGTCTTTTTAAAAAAATGCAGACTTTTCAAAGAAGAAAAACTTATAAAAGAAATAAGTTCCCTGGAGGAATTGGCACAGGGATCTACAAGCAATAATGAAACTCTTGAAGAAAAAAAGCGTTGGAAGATATTAGAAAAGAAAAAATGGCTGGTGTATATATAAGGTCAAGGGCAAGATGGATAGAAGAAGGGGAGAAACCGACAAAATATTTCTGCAATCTGGAGTCAAGAAATTTCTTAAGTAAAATTATTCCAAAAATTGAATTAGAAAATGGAGAGACAGTTTATAATCAATCAGATATCTTAAAAACAACCAAACAATATTATGAAAATTTATATAGAAATGTAGATGATGTCATTAAAAATGTTAACCTTCAGGAGGAAATGAATTTTTCAGATATTAAAAAGCTTTCCAATGAAGAGTCAAGGTCATTAGAAGGTCAAATTACAATCAAGGAGGCAGGAGAAACACTTTTTAGGATGAAATCAAATAAATCACCTGGCTCAGATGGCTTTACCTCAGAATTTTTTAAGGTCTTTTGGAAATTATGGACGTTAATATGTTTAAATTGAAATATGGAATCCATACAAACTTTCTTGAGTACAATGGACTTATACCTGCTATCAGAGAATGGATGAAAACCAAAAATATTATTTCTATGCCAACTGTGTATATGCCATATATTACACAAAAAATATTCCGTTTATTAAATGCGAAGAAATCAAGAAATATATATGAAATTTTGAAAAGCAATGACATCAAGCCATTAGGTCAAACTAGCTTGAATAGAATTTTTAACTTGAATGATAGTGAATGGGAAAAAGTTTTTTCATTTTGATTTAAGCTCACTAAGGATACAAAACTTCAGTGGTTACAGTTCCGCATTAATCATAAAATATTAGCAACAAATTCCTTTTTACATAAAATTAAGAAAATAGGTTCATATGAGTGTTCTTTTTGTGAAACTGAGACAGAAACTATTGAACACATATTCTGGGAATGTGAAGCAATACAAGACCTATTGAATAGTTTTGATAGTTATTGTCTTAGAAAGATTCATATTAATGTTGTATATTTTAAAAAAAGAATTCATATTGGGATCTTTTGCAAAATTAGACAAAATAAAGTATCTCATTGCTCTTCTGATTAAATAATTTGTCTATAGAATGAGATGAAGTGGTAAAAACCTCTCCTTGAATGGACTGATATCCTCCATCAAATATATGTATGAAACAAATAAGTATATGGCATACAAGAACAATAATCAGGTGACTTTTGACGAAGGCTGGAAACCCTGGAAGAATCTGTTTTTGTAATTTTTTCTTACTATTCCTTCTCTCTCTCCTCTCTTTCTTGCTCTACTTCTCATTCTCTCTCTCTCTCTCTCTCTCTCTCTCTCTCTCTCTCTCTCTCTCTCTCTCTCTCTCCCATAAAACAATTACAGAAAATGTATATTTGTATTGTATAATTATGTATTAGAATCTGTAAATAAAAAAAAAGACAATAGGAATAGGCCAAAGGTATACATCAATTTGGGCATCCTTTTGTTTACTTAACTATTCAACATCTGTACTTAAATAAATTCAAAATTGTCACGGTTTTTTTTTAAGTTTTCATATTACACACGAACACATTAATTATATAGAAATGATATAGTCTTTATACGTTTGTATGCTTGTGATTAAAAATATTATCATAAGCAAAATTCTATTTGTAGCAATGTTTTCCCCATCATTTTCGTTCAATTTTTGAATGCTTTAATGTTTGTATAAAGTCTAAAACTCATTTTATTGCCTTGAACCCGGCCAAAAGACCATAAACTGAGAACAAATTTAAGTCAAAATTTTGATGTTTAGTATCTTTAGTTTATAATTTGTATTTGCTTTAAAATTTGCAATGTTGTAAATGTGTAATATTTTATTAAAATCTATGGTTAAACTTTTGTTTGATTATCGAAATTGTTTCAAAAGAGTTATAATCGTTTGAAATTTTGACTAAAGTTTGTACTCATGTATGGACTTGGGGATCGGTTTCATTCGTGGCTTTTTTTTAATATCGTAATGTGCTTATTTCCAACTAGAGATCTACTCTATTTAGGTTTTAAAAATAAGTTTTCTTAAAACGTAAAGAATTATTTCACCGGCATCATTTTTAATCATAGCGATTTTTTTTTCAAGCTTTCCATAGAGTACAGAATTTATTTTTGATTCTTTGTTTTAATTATAAGAACCTTAAAATGGAAGAGTAGCAAAACAGTAATAATAATATGAAGAAAACTGCAATTATCTGAAAGCAAATCGTTTATTTCATAATTTAAATAACATTCTTACTTTTTGTCCTTTTGATCATAGTACACCATTCCATACCAAAAAAATCAATTGTTATTATTGACCAAAAGATGTCATGTAACAACATTGTAAAATCATATCATGTTACATTAATTACGCATACTTTAATGACGCATACCATAAAATAGAAGTGATATCACAAGATTGAA